TTTTTTTCTAAGGTAAGAATAATCTTTAAAAAAGAAAAAGAAATGGAGGTTGAAAGTAATTCAAAAAAGTTCAATAAAAATTAAAAAACAAAAATTCATCAAAAATAATCCCAACTTTCATTTTGTTGCCTAAAACGGGCATTTCCGTTATCCCTCCGTTAGAAACTTAACGGCGACCTAAAACTGGCAAATTTTAGTAAAGTTGGGATTATTATGCATCACAGTGAAAGGTGAGATTATTTTTGAAAAACCGAGTAAAGTTGGGATTATTTTGTGTAATTTTTCCTTCTATTTAAAAAAGAAGCAAAATTCTATTGTGGACCTAAGATCCACCATAGACCTACAAATAAGGAAAATAAGCAAATCATAACTATCTCTATGAGCATTTATTTTAATTAAAAATTTAAAAATAAAAAAATTATGTGAAAGATGCATAAAAATGGTATGCACTCAAGGTGAGCGTTACACAATTGGTAAGGTAAGGGGTGCCCAAGTTGTATGCCAGGTGCAAGTTTCACCCTTTGTCATTGTACCCATTCGTAATTAAAACCTAATTTACATCCTCTCGGATAACCGTCCCGTTGTTCTTAGTGGATAATGTGATCGATCTCAAAAAAAAAAGAAAAAAACAAACAGTGTCCACATAAGCTCACCAAAAGAATGAAAAGACGTACATTCGAGAAAATCACACGTTTCATAGCAGGAGAGACAATGTTTGGTGTGAGTGTGATGCACCAAATAATGCCATTATGTGAGTGTGATTTTCAGTTTTATTATAAAAAATTACTCAAAAAATAGGACTAAAACATAGAAAAAGTATCAAAATAAGAATTTTATGTTTTTATTTACTAAATAAGAATTTTCATTGTGATAATGTGACACTGTACATGTGCATTTTACATAATGTAAATGGTCATGATTATTAATATAAATGCTTTTTAATTTTTATTTCAGGAATAAAGACATAAATTCTTATTTTAATATATTTATAATATTTTACTCATACTTTAGTTTTTTGTTGAGCTGACGGTGAAAAAAACGTTTGGTGGTTTTAGGGCAGATAGCAATGGCGACGGGAGGATCACGCGAGACGAAGTGCAAGAGGTTAGTTATCGCTAGGCAGCTAGCTACTCACTTCCTACCTGAACTAAATTAAAGTCACATTTAATATTTCACAAATTATGCTAAGGAACAAGTTTTTAAGTGAGTTTAAGTTTTTAAAACTTACCCAACTTAATGTGACGGATTAAGAGTACTCCATATACTCCCGTCTCGGAGTATTTATCTATTTTTGATTTTTTCAGTCAAAATGAGTAAGATTTGACCTCGATCAAATTAAATAAAAATGACATTATGTATTGATATAAAAAATAGTTTTATTAGATTTATTTTTTTAAATATTTTTAAAATATCATTTTATCTAATTAACATACAACATATATTTTATTTAATTATAGGTCAAATGTTAAAAATAGTTGAGAGAAAAAAGTTAAAACTGAACAAATATTCTGAGATGGATGCAATATGTAATATGTGAGAAATCAATGTGGAAAAAAAGATTAGAAAGAAATCAAAGAATACAAGGAATATGGTATATTTGGTGTCTTGGCATAACGAAAAAAAAGAAGGCATGACTTTAGTTACGAGAAGTCCAAATTAAGAAAAAGTAAGAAAGAAGGTTTTGACTTCCTATATTTTCCCTTGACTAATTGAAAAAAGTAGTTAATGTGTAGAAATGAATAGTAATTAATGGGTAAGGTGAGGGACTGAGAGTAGCAATGCTATTCAAAGAAAAAAAATATTTGGTAAAAAAGAAATTGATAAAAAAATTAATGGACAAACAAAAAAAATGAAAAGAAAATCTATGAATAGAAAGAGTGTATACTTTTATGTGTTTTGGAACAACGTATCATTTTGACTTTGACTTATTAAGTGAATAATCAAACGATCTACATGGTACATATTTACTATTTAAGTGTCTAAGCTCTCTAACTTTTTAAATATTTCATTGATCATTTGAGAAATCAAATATAATAATGCAAAGAAAATTCATCACGGGTATACACAGATAATAATAAATCATCTGTGACTGTGGAGGTAACCGTTGTGGATTCCTAATATGGTCTAATAAAATGATCTTATCACAATTTATTTTTTAAAACTTTTGATGTAATTTTTAGTATATAATTCTTATTTTTTAATTTTTCATCAACATTACATATATGATTCAGAAATAACTTCATTCAAACATCGTAAACCGCAACAAGAATCTTATTTGGGGACAGAGAAAGCAATATCTAACAATCTTATATGGTCGGTTTTAAAATGAGCCAAAGCTTAACATTCCTCTTTAAAATTGGTGTGATTCTATGGTGGATCTAAGATCCACATGGACCTTCCCACATTTTTTTAAATTTAAATATACTTATTTTAATACTTGAAAATGCTTATTTAGCATATAATAAAACCCTTTTCTATATGATAGTAGAAGGAATAATTGGCTAAAAAGAAGGAATGAACCATGACATTGGAAAATTTAAGTTAACGACAAGAAATGTTATTATTTGTGAAATATGAATCAAGGAATATTAATAAAGTAAATGAGAGCCATGGAAATGAGAGGAAATGCAACACATAATTAAACAAAAACCTATTCATTTCCCCCCATAATTTGTAATCGTTTTCACTTTTTTTTCTTGACAACCCAACAGCTGATAATGCTGAGTGCTTCCGCAAATAAGCTCTCCACATTGAAAGAACGTGCAGATGAGTATGCTTCTTTAATCATGGAGGAATTAGACCCTGAAAATATTGGATATATTGAGGTATATATCATCAAGATTATTCTTCTTCTTTTCTTTTATAACAAGCTTCTCTAATGTTTTATTTATTTTAGCATAAAATTCAAATGCATAAATAATATAGTGCTAACATTTTTTTCAAATGATAATAATAGTTCTAACAAGTACTCCAGAATTGAAAACATGACTCATTAGTCATTACATGTGGCTTATAAATACTCGGTATATATTCCTGAGTAGTTCTTACTTTCCCTGACTCAGAGTATTCATCTATTTTGTCTTTGTTTCAAAAAATAATGAGATTATTTTCTGAGAGTTTTCTTTAAAATGAATCTTATGGCATGATTTTTTTGTATTCATATGAAATATAATTTTTATTTTATTAATAATAAAAATTTATCTAATTAAAGTTGAAAAAATCAAAATAGAAAAATCTTCAACGTAAGTATTACAGGTCAAAGGTAATATGAGATTATGAGGGTGTAAATTTACATAGGATTATTTAATCTCTTATAAACAAAGTCACAATAGCAAGTCATTGTGTATGTGAGTACAACGGCAAGTGAGCGGAGTGAAACGATGTGCAATGGCAAGTCATTGTTATTGTTCTTTTGTAATTAACTTTCTTCATAAAAAATTGTTTAAGCCATATTTTTTATCAGAAAAACAATTTTACTACCCTTTTAAAATTAATACGAACTATTTGATATCTAAATTCATACTCCGTAATGATTGAATTTAATAATTCTAAAATCTTAATTAAAGAAAACAAAAATAAATAATTAAAGAAATCACTCCCTTTACATTAATCAATAAATTAATCCATGTTTCCTTCACGCACAATACCGTCTCAGCCCTGCCACCCACCAATTTTGCCAAAATCTTGCCGTGGATGAATATGAAGCCGCTAGTGTATTCTTCCTTCTAAAAAACGAGAAAAAAAAACAAAAAAAAAACCAAAAGAATGGCTCGAGGATGGAACAGGGAGTGGGGTGGAACGCCTGGGAAGTGGGAAGTGCCTCGTGCCACGCTACCCCATGCTGATGTGGCAAGGCGTGGCAGTGTTTTGGAACGCCATTGTTTACATCATTCACCTAGGTGGAACCAATAACCATGGAGGTAAGGACACATTACCAATGTAAAACCCCAACACGATAATCTAAAACCCCAAACCAAAGTAATGACACATTACCAATGTCACATGAAATTTGCCTAAACCAAACGCCTCAAGAATCCATCATCTACTCTTACAACAAGGGTAACCTGGTAAAGATAAACTACTTCCATTAAAATAAAATACTTCTTTTCTTTTATTTTCCATGTCAAAATTCTTGAACCAAACATAGCCGTAGAGTTTGAGAAATCCACTATATGATCCATCTTCGTATACCCTACTAGCGACGCTAACATACGCAGAACAAGATCTCCTTCATTGTGATGAAAGTAACTCTAATCTTGTTTCAGTTATGGCAGTTGGAAACACTACTACTGCAAAGGGATAGATATATGAAGTACAGTAGACAACTGAGCACAGCAAGTGTAGGAAAAACTCCAAAAATAGGACCACAAAATTCTAAGAATATAATAAAGAGAGCAAGGTGTGCACTCAAGTGTCTTGTACTAGAGAACTGGCAAAGAGGCTGGATCCTACTGCTATGGCTGATTGCCATGGTTGGGCTTTTCACATGGAAATTCCAACAGTATAGGCAAAAGGCAGCTTTCCAAATAATGGGTTACTGCTTGCCGACAGCTAAAGGTGCCGCAGAGACACTCAAGTTCAACATGGCTCTCATCCTTTTACCAGTTTGTCGAAACATATTGACATGGTTACGATCCACAAAAGCAAGGCTATTCATCCCTTTTGATGACAATATTAATTTCCATAAGGTGAGATTTGTTTATCTACTCTGCTTACTCGGATATCAAAAATCATATAAAGAGATGAACTTCCTAGCTTTATTGTCTATGTCTTACAATAGAGACTTAGGCTCCAACTTTTAAGCATTGTTCGGAGCATTTAAATACTGAGTACAAAATAGTATCAGGGCATAGTACTGCCCATTGCCGACGGAGCCTTAGAAGTCACTTTGACGAGGGTTTTGCTTTGGGTATATATTTCACTAAACCAAAAGGGACAATTAAACTTCCCTTGCTTCCTACTTTCCATCAAGTCTTGGTCAGTAAATGCATCAAGGGTCGAACAAAATCTGTTTTCTTACAGGACTAAGGTTGCGAACATGTTGACCCTTCGAGGGACTTGTCAAAATATCACACATCATATAAGAGATGAATTCCTTAGCCTTATTGACTACGTTTCTCTGTTAAGATTTGTTAAATTTTAAATTAAAATAGAATCTTTATAAGCGATCAGACAATTGACAAAAGGTGCTATGTTTTACAGATTATAGCATATGCCATAGCAGTTGGAATCGTACTCCACGCAGGAAATCATTTAGCGTGTGATTTCCCCCGTCTAATTAACTCATCAACAGAGAAATTTGCACTTATAGCAGAAGATTTTAATGGAGTTAGGCCCACTTACAGAAGTGTTTTGACTGGTGCCGAAGGCGTGACTGGCATACTGATGGTGGTTTTGATGGTGGTTTCCTTCACATTAGCCACAAGGCAATTCAGGAGAAATATCTTGAACCTACCACCACCACTGCACCGGTTAACAGGCTTTAATGCCTTCTGGTATTCTCACCACCTTCTTGCTCTAGTGTATGTACTACTTCTAGTACATGGAAATTTCTTGTTCCTGGTCCACAGATGGCAGAATAAGACGGTAATAACAATAAATATGGAGTGCTGCATTTACCTGTTTTTTTGCAAATATTTATCGAAAAATACAAATGTTTTGTTGAGAGAAGAAATTGGGAAGAGAGAAAAAGATGGAAGTGAGAATTGAAGATCATTTATAATACAACAAACAGACCATTATATTTGAATATAAACATATAAGGAGAACAAAGCAAAAGGGGTGAAAATGGAAATTAGAACAAATGTGGGATGACCCACATGTTTTTTTCCATCACAAACCTCTCATACAATCATACCACATCTAAAACTAGAACAAACATACCCTAGGTGCAAACATCAGACATTGCATGTTCTATATTCAGGATAGTAAATTTCATATGTCAACTCTTTACTCATACAGACGTGGATGTACATATCTATTCCTCTGATCTTATATGTAGCAGAGCGGAGTTTGAGAACATGTCGAGCAGAACACTATGCAGTTAAAATACTAAAGGTAATATATGCTAACATCTTAAGTGGAATAAATTATACTGGAAATGAAGGTTTAGGACGGTAAAGAATCATTTGCAAGACCACACTCCCAAAAGCACTAATACCCAAAACAAAGGACACCATCGACCTCTAATCACCAGAACTCACTACCTTCTATCAAGTGTCAACAAACAAATTGTTTTCTCACCTGCACACAAATAGATAAGTTTTGCATTCTGAGTAATTCTGCTGATCATTCTTCAAATATAAGCACATGTTAGTAAAGCATTTTGGGGAAAAAGATAGAGGAAACAGAAAAAAGGCACCAACCATTAAGCTTTTTTATCCATACAGGTTTCCGTACTTCCAGGAGATGTCTTCAGTTTGGTTATGGCAAAGCCAAATGGTTTCAATTACAAGAGTGGGCAGTACATATTCTTGCAGTGCCCCATAATATCCCCATTTGAATGGTATACATCAACCATCTCATTTAGGACAGTTGCAAATTTCACCTCAAAAATATAAACCAACACTTTTCTTTATCAGGCATCCATTTTCGATAACATCAGCACCAGACGATGACAACCTTAGTATTCACATTCGTACTGTAGGAGACTGGACGAAAGAGCTTAAGAAAGTCTACACAGAGGATGCAGGCTCAGTGTGTGAGATAGGTCGAGCAAAGTTTGGAGAACTCGGCAATGTTAATCAACGAGTGTAATGTCATATAAATGATACTGTAATTTTTCTCAAACATTGCATTATTTAAGGGTAGGACTCTGAGGAAAGGTGACTTATGTGCAGTTTACCCCGATTGCTGGTTGATGGACCATATGGTGCCCCTGCACAGGACTACCATAGCTATGATGTGTTGCTTCTTGTAGGACTTGGTATTGGAGCTACACCCTTCATAAGTATCCTTAGGGACCTACTAAACCATTCGAGAACAGAAGATCTAACGGTACCCTTTGTTTGCACTAATGTTGTTGGTGGTGATACAATTTAGCAGAGTTAGGCTCAAACTTAATATATCATTATATCCCTTCTCCTTATGGTGCCATAGGATTCAAATACAGAAACCAGTGCATCAGATGACAGCTGGACGAGTTTTAGTTCTTCAAGTATAGCATCAACTGTAAAGAAGGAAAGCCGAAAGACCAAAAGGGCACATTTCTATTGGGTAACAAGAGAACCTGGATCATTTGAGTGGTTCAAAGGAGTGATGAATGAAGTTGCAGAGATGGATCACAAAGTAATAAATGCTTAATCATGAACTTACTCTCATCTACCTTTCTTTATGCTCAAACATCATGAAATCATTTTGTTAATTCTTTTTTTTTCCTTGATGACCATGATAACCAGGATCAGATAGATATGCACAATTATCTAACAAGTGTTTATGAAGAAGGTGATGCCAGGTCAACACTCATTACTATGGTCCAAGCACTTAACCATGCAAAACATGGTGTTGATATCCTCTCGGGTACCAGGGTATGGGCGCATAAATTCTCTTAAACAAATTCCATTATATTTGAAAATAGAAAATTGAGAGGATGAAGTGCATTTTCTTCCAATATTCTAACAAAACATTAAATTTTGCAGGTCAGGACACATTTTGCACGCCCAAATTGGAATGAAGTATTCAGTAAAATAGCTTCAAAGCATCCTCATTCTACAGTAGGTAATGATGACCTTGACACAATAACCATACCTCCTTTCTTATTTAAACAAAGTTCTAAAATTACAATGTACCTGCGCCAGCAAACAATCAGCACAGGAAGCAAAATTGCTTCTTTAAAAAAAGGAAATCACAAAACTTAAAAGCCGTGAAAGTTATAAAAACATCATCACCAAAACTAAAGGGCAGCTGTCTAAATACTTGCAACCGTTAAAAAGGACATGTACATGCTTTAAGGAAAAAACTGCTATGAATGAAAATATACCACCTCCTTTACCCATGTTTGTAATTCTTGAAATCAATATTACAAACAAGGCCCTTTTTTAGGGACATGGTATAAGATATGTGCAAGAACAAGAAGCACACTGAAAAGGAAGAAAATTTGTGACACTTATACTTAAAGATCACGTGTATAAGACTATAAGTTCACAAGATAGAGGCAAAAATTGCATGGAAAACATGCAATGTTTATTTTTAGGTATAAAAAGCAACCCCCCTCGTCCATATTTAACATTCCCACCTTCCTTTTTGTGATGTTCCAATTAATCCTTCCATTTCTCATCTAGGAAATAAATGTATGGCCCATAAACATAAAAACCACACAATTTCATTTTTCTAAAACTAGGGGGAAAAATGGAAGTGGGAACATTAAAAACTTGCATAGGGTATAACAAGTAAAAGTGAAAGAATTGTGAGAGGTCAACTTGGTCATTTTGCTATGTTTAAGATCATTGAATTGCGGAATGGCCATTTTTGTGTAAGCAGAGTGCACATAATTTATGAACAAATAACAGTGATATGTGTTCCCCCATTTCTACAGGAGTTTTTTACTGTGGGATGCCAGTATTGGCAAAGGAATTGAAGAAGCTATCACAAGAATTGACGTATAAGACTACAACACGCTTCGAGTTCCACAAGGAATGCTTTTGAAACATTGAACATTGGGCACTAATGCATGCATCATCTCTTTTAATTGCTTTAATTTATGTAAATTCTCACAGTTAGGAGCCACACGTATACATATATACTATCAAAATATCTCACACATCACCAAAAAATAGTGTTTTTTGTCCACGGTTGATCTAATTTTTGTAAGACCATGTGTGCAATGAACAGAAACACTTATTGCGTAACAAGTATATAGGAGGACATATCGTTGCCCTATTTATTTGGTATTTTGTTCCTGATTTTTTTTAATAGATCAAAAGTCAAGCAATTCATTTATGTAAATTATTGTCCTATTTGGTAAAACAACTATACCATACTCATTTCTAATGAATATACAAATGTATTTGGAGGATATATTTGATTTATTTTAAACTTTGGCTAGAGTAGACTATTGAAAATGACACATTAAACTTCCCTTGCTTCTTCCTTTCTATGATGCTTTGGGCAGTAAATGCAGCAATGTAACCCACAAGTTAATGATTCTCAATTAACTTTCATCTCAATGTTGAAATAACAGATCTTGAATTAGCAATACAATTCTATAGAAAAATAACAGCTTGAATCTTGAAATTCATCAAAGCACATGTAAATGCTTATCCACTTGAAACACAGGCTATAACACTGATGGGGAAAGTTAGTTATCCTTCAAGCGCTTGAGCAGCTTGGATGCCCACAGACGGACACGCCGCTTCAAGGTGTAGCCTACGAACACTCCAGCGACAAAGAAGACTGCACAGAGCTTCGAGCACGTCCACAGGGATACCATTTGCCTGTAGTCCCAAAGGTTTTGTACTTTAACCACGAAAGTTCCCCCCAAAAAACCCAAATTTCACTACTCCGTTTGGATTGAGGACAATCTAGAAGTAACTCAGTAAAATAATGTGATTGTCTTGACTTACTCAAGGCATGTTCTGTTCAACTTATTTTTTTCAGCTTATTGCTTATCCTTATTAAAATTAGATCAAACCACACCCGGTCAGAAACAGCTCTAAATATAACTACAATTACACCAGATCTTCAAAGAATCAGATGCCGAACGGAATGTAGCCTTAGATGGTGTTGTAAGGTATGGTGACTTCTTGGAAAAACAAAAGTGGTAAGTCAGAAGAGGAAATCACTCCTAGCATTGCTCAAAAGCAATGCTAAAGTTTGGTTTCCGATTCTGAAGCCATAGTCCATAAGCTAAAACATATTGTCAAAATGTTGTATTTTTGGTGAAGTGGAAGCTCAAAATTTGTTCTCAAACACCCACTAAATATCATTAACCTAAACTAGAAGTTAATAGTCCAATTAACCCGCACAAGCTAACCATGGAAGATACTTAAAATCTCAATCCAAACAGAGCATAAAAGTAAGTGAAAATATAAATAAACCTTAGAGAAAAAAAAGGAAAATAAAAAAGCAATCTTCACCTGGGGGGACGAGAGAGCAAGAGCTGAGAGTGATCAGTGGATGAGATTTTCGCAGAACCAGAGGTTGAAGAAGAGTTGAGGCTTGAATTCTGAAAGAAGGAGGAGATTGAGCCTAAGGTGGCCTTTGGATCCTGCGATATGGCATCGCGGAACGTTTTCTGGAATCCCTCCATGGATGGATGGAAGCGCTGCGAGCTTTGATGATCAGAGAGAGCTAAGGAACAGTTACAGTGATTTTTGCAATTCGGAAAAAATTAGGGTTTTAGACAACGGGTCCCAACCGCGCTTCAAGCCTTCAACCATGACGGGTCAGATAGATAGAACAGGTATCGCAGGTTAAGCCGGGTTTAGGCCGCCGGTTCATTATAACTTTGTCCTGTGTAAGTTTTATTATGCAAGATTCATTATGATTAAAATCTAATTTTCCTACTTTCATGTGACCGCCCGACCGCTTTTGAAGGGCTCTCGAAGATAAAATTCATTCTTTTTTGGTAAATTCTTTCGTGAACCAAGGATTCATGCTCATTATATGGATTTTAGTGCATTTGTAATATACTATAAAAGAAGCATGCCTTTAAAAAATATTCACACGCAAGTCTATAAAAATGTGAGAAGATTCACATTTTAAATGTGAAATTTGGAACCATCTAAGCATCACTCTTCTTTTTTATTATGCCTTTAGGACATGGTACTGCCCCGGCTCCAATGGAACTTGTGGTAAACCTCAATCGGAATCGGTGCTGGTGGTGCAGACATGGTTCCCAATGATTTTTTATTTTGATTTAAATCTGAAATACTTTTTTTTTAGAAAAATGTTAGTAAACTATTTTGTAGATTTTCAAAATGGTACTTGAAAATATTGATAAAAATTGAAGTCGAAAATCAAACCGGAACCAAAATCCTACCACCGCACAACAACTTTGGTCCGGTTCATCATCTCTCCTGCCCCGGTCCACCTAGTTAAGGTTTTGAACCGGAACCTAGTCCACTCCTCTTCTCTGGTTACAAACCTTGTCCACCTCTCTCCATAGCAACATTCAAACATCATCTTTCATGACAGCCACAAATCCACACTCATCAACCACTGAATCATAAAAGCTGGGAGAGATCTTCAACATTTTCATTGCAAGCTAAGCAAGGAAGGAAGCTCACACTCCACCATATCTTTCTTTGTCAAACAATCAATCCCACAAATGGCTTCTCTCCCTCTTTCTGCCAAGCTCCCTCATCTGCTCCATCCCAAATCTCCTAAATCCTCCCTCTCTCACAACCTTGGCATTCCCACCAAACCCTCAAAATCCCCATTTTACCCTCTCAAATTTCAACACCCATCTTCTTCTCTCCCAACCCACTCCTCAAAGCTAAAACCTCTAGTTTTCGCCAAGGTGCAGCCTTGGATGAACTAATTTTCCTCTTGATTCAAAAAAAAAGTTTCAATTTTTAAGTGGATTTTCTGATCCATTGGCTGTTTATTGATAGGGTTTTTTTTAATGTTTGCAGGTGACCAAAGGAACTGTGCCTCCTGCGTTCACGTTGAAAGATCAGGAGGGAAGAAATGTGAGCCTCTCCAAGTTCAAAGGGAAGCCTGTTGTGGTCTATTTCTACCCTGCCGATGAGACCCCCGGGTGCACCAAGCAGGTAACCATGGCTCTCTCTCCCCAAACTATTGTCCAGCCTTTATCTATTATGATTTCGCTCATTCGTTCGTATCAAGTCCATTACTCCAAAAGAGTCATTTTTATGCTCCCTGGTTTTGCTAGTAAATGCATCATTTCTCCCCGGTTGTGGCCCGTAGGATGCTCTTTATCAAACTTGGAATGTGTTTAACATAGTTTGAGATGTTTTATAGAGGAAGCTAGGTTGTGCACTATAAATCAACACCCATTCATGCACCTTTTTATGACAAGAGACATATAAGTCTATTGCAGAAAGGAAACTTAGAACAAATCTGCTAATGAACTAGAAGTGAAACTAGATCTGCTGCAAACAATCCCACATCTCTGATGCGCGAATGCCTATTATTTGCATAACAAGATCTCGTCACGCGTCTTAAAGCCATTTTTTGAACGAGGTGTTGCGATGTGATTTTTAGGGCTCAGACCAAGAGAGTGTTGCCACTAGAGTAGTTTTATGGTTTGAAATTTAATATCGTAATTATATCATATGATGTACGATGCATCACAAGGTTTGGAAACACCCTCTCTTATGCCAAGTAGGGATAAAGTCTGTGTACAATCAACCTCCTTATACCATACTTTGCCTGGGATTATACTGGGTTTGTTGTTGTATATCATATGATGTGTATTTTTTTTACATTTTTTGTTTGTTCATAAGTTAGGCAATATGAAATGACAACAAACGATAAATCTAAGGGGTTTTAAGCAGTTAATAAATCGAAGCAAGCTTTTCCCAACAAAAAAAACAACTCAATCGTATAATTTGGAACAGAGGGAGTATGGAGTAAGTTCATGTGCACTAATAGAAAATGTAGGAAAATGTGACTACCAAACCAAAATATAAAAATACAATCTAATTTATAAGGCCATGAGTATATTAGGTCACGAAGTAATTGATCCGTTCTAATGATTTGCAGGCCTGTGCTTTCAGAGATTCGTACGAGAAATTCAAGAAAGCAGGAGCTGAGGTTATTGGGATTAGTAGCAATGACACAACATCACACAAGGTGGTATTTCTTTTTGTTTTTTTATAAAAAATAAAAACACCATAATTGTTAGAATTATCCCACAACAGCTAAATATGAATGAATGAATGAATGAATGAAGCCCTTAATAAGTATGAGGTAAACTCCACCCCTTGAAAACTCCTTTGAGGGGAACTGATATTGCTTTCTGCTAAGTGTTTAATGTGTGCACCAGAACTTTGCCAAGAAATATAGACTCCCATTCACATTGCTGAGCGACGAAGGGGAAAAGGTGCGGAAAGAATGGGGAGTGCCTGCAGATCTTTTTGGGGCATTGCCAGGACGACAGACGTACGTTCTTGACAAGAATGGAGTTGTCCAGCTGATCTATAACAATCAGTTTCAGCCCGAGAAACATATCGACGAAACACTCAAGCTCCTTCAAAGTCTCTAATGAATCAGGTTGTATGTATGTATGCATGTGTGTTTCTCACCCTGCATTGGCCATTCCAAAAGCTTGTTTATATGTATTCTATGTAATGTACTTTTTTGTGTGAGATAATATATGACTATATTATCTGTAGTTGGTATAATAATACCCCAATTCATGTGGAATTTGGCTTCGTTTAGAAATAACGTTTGTGATTAGTGCATGTTGGCGTTTTGGATGATTCTTTAAGGTTACATATTAACTTTGAAAATGCTAAGGAAGGGTGTGGGGGGACGTGGTGAGCCGTGATGGCCATCTGGCATCACCTCACCCTCCACCACGCCGTGGAACACCGCCCCCCATAAGAGTAAAATTTAATTTTTCTTTCAATCCATTATTTAAACATCCCATCACACTCTTTTAAACTTTCTCTCTACCTATTTCATATACAAATTTTTCTCAATCTCTAAATATTTTCTAAAATCATATTATGGATCCTAATTATTTTCAATTCCTCGAGTGGCAACTTCAATTTTAAGATATTCTCAACAAGTTGTGGGAATGGCCGACCCGGCACCCGTCTCGGAGAACGATGTTGAGGGTATTCCTGAAACGCAACCTACCCGAAAATCCAAAGGGAAGGTCGTGGACCATGAAGGGTTGACGAGTCGGGGGCAAAGTGAGTGTGGACGCCGACAGAATGCAAGTATCAACGACCTCGTCTCCACCATGGCCGCCTTCAACGAATTCAACTCGGACAAGATTCAACGAAAAAGTCAAGCTGTCGATGAGGCGCTTCGCCTAGAGCGGAAACGTAATGATCACAAAGCATACGAGATTTTGATCCCGATTTGCCACCTCAGAGCGTGCGACTATACTAAAAATCAAGGACAAAATTAGCCGAAAATGGCTTGTAAGAGCATCTCCAACCATGTTAAAATGACTTGCTATATACTACAATTTGACAAACTAAGTAAAATTTCATACTCCAAGGAGCTTGCTAATGTTTGACAAGCTTGCTTAAAAATGAAAATGGCTTGCTACTAATAACAAACTTGATAAAATATAGCAAGCCAAAAAGAAGAAGAAAAATATTGGTTGAGTTAGTTTTTTCATGTATCATGACGCATTTGTTCCCTACTTTCAGTACCACAACGCAAGAAAAATTAATAAATATTATTTTATGTTTTTTACAAAAAAAAATAATTTTATTTTTTACCAAAAAAATTATAAAATTTATTTTATTTTAAGTTTAAATTGCATACTTGCAGAATATTAATTATTTCTTATAATAAAATTTTAAAATTATAATAAATAGTGTACTCTAATAGTGAAATCAATACATTTTTGCTAAATTATAGCAAGCAAAGATTGGAGATGATCATGTAAAATGACTTGCTATACCACTATTCACATGTTAATAAATAACTTTAGCAAGTCATGTTTAGCAAGTGTGATTGGAGATGCTCTAAGTGCAATGGACAACTTGGCCAGTGATCTTTAATTTTTTTAATCAAGTAGTTTTTTTTATTTTCAATCTCGTACCGTGTCGCTCTTAATTGTTTTTCACATTATATCAATATAATTTTAAATTTGAATTTTAATAAAATATTTATTTAATGTTTTCCTTTCAATTTATTTTCATTTAAATATGTTTAAAAAATTAAAAAAAATTGGGCATGATCCACACCAAATGGTCTAAAAGTAAAAAATCACCTTTGGATAGGTATTCAAACATTGAAACTAGTAGTAAATGCTAAAGTTAATGTCAAATGGAGCCTTTATCACCTTTGAGTGGCACACATATGAAAGTGCCGCATTGGAGCCTTTATTTTCAATCTCGTTGTGTCGTTCTTAATTATTTCTTTTTTCACATTATGTAATGTAATTTTAAATTTGAATTTTAATAAAATATTTATTTAATTTTTTTCTTTTAAAATAATTTTATTTAAATATATTTTAAAAAATTAAAAAAATTGGGCGTGATCCACACTCATCACCCATGTGGTGTGATGGTGGTGTGATGGGTTGTGATGCAAAACAGAAAAGTTGGAGTGTCGTTGAGGGGAATAGCTTGATCCACACCAAATGGTCTAACAGTGAAAATCAAGGAAAAACTGATATAAATACTCCTATAAATTTGAAATTTTACAATAATACTCCCAAATTCAATAAAAGACTCTGGTGCTTCCAATTAAACTATAAATTTACATTACTACTCCCACTATGCATAATCAGCTTTTCTTAAGTTTACATTTAAGTAATTATGCTTAGTTGACATCTTAATTGTTTTTTTTTGTTTTAATAAGAGGAAAAAATTATATAAATGCTCATAGAAATTCAAAATTTTACAAAAATTCTCCCAAAATCAAATAAAGACTCCAGTTCTCCCAAAAGTATATTCTCGTTGCATGTTACTATATTTGACTGAAATTATTTTCAAAGTATTTTATATGAAAAATTATGTGAAATTAAAAAATAAAAATTACATATTAAAAAACTAATATAGTAATATGTAAAAAAAATTTTAGTAATATTAAAGATTAATTTACAGAGCTTAATTGGCATCTTAGTTATTTTTTTTATATTTTAATAAAAAAATATTCCCTTCGTCCAAAAAATATCTTCTCATTTACTATTAAGAGTATTAACAAGATCAAATTTTATTTACTTTGCTTACCTGTTTTATACTCCTTCCGTCCCAAAAAGTCTTTCCTGTTTCATTTTTTGCGCATCACATAAAACACTTCTATCCCGTCTTGAATGCCAAAAAAACTTTCAAAATAACTTCTACCCACAATAAAGAAGAGATGTTGTAAATTTTAGGCATTTTAGATGTCGATAGAAGTGTTTTATGGGATGCGTAAAAAATGAAACAGGAAAGACTTTTTGGGACGGAGAGAGTAGATCTTATGATATGTAGTTTTTAGATATATAATTTTATTTTTTGATTTCACACCACTTTTATTAAACATCGTAACACGTAAAAGGAAGATATTTTTTTAAAGTACTAGAGTCTTTATTTGGTTTTGATAGTATTATTGTAAAATTTTAAATTTCAGGGAGTATTTATATAATTTTTTCTCTTATTAAAACAAAAAAACAACTAAGATGTCAATTAAGCATAATTACTTACATGTAAGCATAAGAAAAGCCAATTATGCATAGTGGGAGTAGTAATGTAAATTTATATTTTAATTGGGAGCAACAGTCTTTTATTAAATTTGAGAGTATTATTGTAAAATTTCAAATTTTTGGGAGTATTTATATCAATTTTTCAAAAAATCAATGTTGGATAGGTATTCAAACATCGAAGCTAGTAGTTAATGTTTAAGTTAATGTAGCCTATATCCACTTTGAGAGGCACACATATGAAAGAAGTGAGTTGTATGCCTTGTTTGGGAAGAGCGTTTTTAATTAACGTTTTGGATAAAATATTAACGGTGTTGATTAATTCAGATAATGCTAACGCTAAAGGTTACCGTCAGATAGCCTTTTCAAAACGCTAACGCTAATCTCTGACGCTGATGCCAAACCGGGCCGTATTCTACTTCCTCTGTCCATAAATAGATTACAATTTTTTTCTCTCCTCTCGATAACTTTTATTTGTTTACGCAATTTCATTAAGTATTTGATAAAATAAAACATTCTTGTCACATATTATTTTGTAGAAATTTTGACGTATTTTTTTAATATGTAATTTTTATATCTTATTAATATACCAATTTATAAATAAAATGATTTCAAAAAGTAAGAAATTTTACTTCGTAACCTGCAATTTATAATCTATTTAAGACGGAGGGAGTATTAACTTTGCAATTTTACCCTTCATATAAAAAGTTTATGGTGTTTTTTTAGGGTAAGTTCATGCCGTTTTATTCCATTTCTTTCAATTTTTTTAATATTTATTTTCTCATTTTAAACTCCCAAAAAACATTTTTTACTTACTTTATTTTTTTGCAAAAAATTATGTAATCCACATTATTTCTCTCACGTACAAATATATTCAAGACATAATTTCGTTACTTTTTAAACATTTTTTTAACTTTATAAAATCGAACTCTTTTTTTTTTGGGAGAAATGTACAAAGTTTTGGTTGGGCGTGGAGTGAAATTAATGCAGGAAAGAAAAGGGGCCACAATTCAACAATGCCTGTAAACTCTGCAAGAATGCACATGACATGCCTCCATTCTTTCCTTATGCAATTTTTACAAACCAACCAAATGGGAGTTTCATATGTGAAAGCATTTAGCATTTTAGCTTAGCTTTCCCTAGTGGGTAGCTCTCTTGTGATATGTCTTCACTCTTCACTAGAAAAGGTTTTTTTCTTATTTTAATGGATTAAGTTATTTGTACACTAAACTTATATCGTTATAAATTGTTTTTTACATGTGTTATGACCAAAATTTTAAAAAAATACTCAAAATATTGGAATAAAATATAGTCATTATTTTTAAAACAAAAGTGACATACTTTTATTCTAAAATAAGACTATTGTATTATGATAATATTACATTATATATTGATATTTTTTTAATTTTTTTGATATTATATATTGATATTATAGACATTATAAATCTTATTTTAAAGATGATAATATAAGATTTTTTTTTGTGAAATTTGCACCTAAAACCTAATGATTTTCCCAATGTAGGACTTAAACTTTTTTATTCCCTAAATATGACTTAATAATGACCTAGTGAGAAGAATAATGTCGAGTAATGATGGACATTTACTTGAATAATGACTACTTTATAATGACCAAAGATCCTACATTGGGAAATAAAAATATATGATTCTATATTAGGAAAGTCATTATGTTTTAGTCCTATTTAGGTAAATTTATCTTTTTTTTCTTATTTTCTATTTTCGTCTTACTCCAAAAATAAAAAAATACACCCTAGTATAGAGTGAGTGAGTGAGTTGCCAATAAATGGCATGCCATGCTTCCTCATCTGCCCACCTCCTCCCACATTATTGGCTTCTTCACATTTGGATCGGTTTTTTTAATTATTTCGAAGAAAAATTAAATCAGATCCAATGGGTTCGCGTTTCCCGGTCCTACAAACAATCCTCCTCTTCTCCACCTTAGCCGCGGCGGCGGCGGCTAGGTCGGAGTTATCGAACGATCTGGTCCGCAAATCTTGCCTGAACGCCAGCTACCCGGAGATCTGCTACCGGACGCTGTCCTCGTACGGCGGCTCCGCCATGAAGACGCCGCGCGACCTGGCGCAGGCAGCCCTCCAGGTGAGCCTCGGCCGGGCGGCGAAGACGGCGGAGTTCGTGAGGAGCGTGAGGGGGGAGAGCGGGCGGGAGAGGGCGGCGCTGAGGGACTGCGTGCAGGAGATGGGGGACGCGGTGGAGGAGCTGCGGCGGAGCGTGGCGGAGCTGAAGCACCTCCGGAAGGGGGCGGAGTTCGAGTGGCAGATGAGCAACGTGGAGACCTGGGTCAGCGCGGCGTTGACCAACGAGGACACGTGCCTCGACGGGTTTAAGGAAGTGTCGGCGGCGGTTAGGTCCGACGTCAGACGGAAGATCCGAAACATGGCAAAGGTTACCAGTAATGCCCTTTACCTTGTCAACCAACTCGGCTCCTCCCCCAACAAACAATAAGATTTATTATTTTCGTTCATAAAATAAATGGTTATTACTCCTAATCCGGCCGCCGCCTCCCATGCTCTTTACCCGATCCATCTGCTTTTCCTGGATCGTCAATTGACAACGAGTTTTTCTGTTGCCAATTGACAATCCAAAGGTGGCGCGAGATTGTGGCGGGAGACAATAGATTAGGAATAGGAACAATCAATTTTATGAATGTGATATTGTTGGATGCCATATTATGACATTAGTCATTAGGTTCTAATGTCAAAAGAGTTTAGCCTAAAGACAATGACTATTTGCGTGATTACGTTGTCTATATATGTCTCCCAAATGCAATTTTATCAATGATGTTCAATACTTCAATATAATGTCATTGTATCTATATGGCTAAATTTGGTGTTTCTTTTCTTCTTTTTATTACTTGGTATTTATTTGATAAAAATGATATTGTTTTTAGATATTTTTTTAAATTTAAATTAATTTTTAAATAAGTTAAATTGAAAATAAATATAATGAAATGTCGTAAATTTTTCTTCTAGGGTGGATGGAGCATAAATTTTTAGACTATACCCATATTTATGACCTGAAATATACTCCCTCCAACCCAATTTATAGTGTCTATTTCTATTTACGATATTTGATTGAAAGTATTTTTAATTTAATTTATTTGACGATTTGGGTGGAATTAAAAAATAAAAATTTCATATTTAAAAACTATATCGATCAAAAGTTTTTTAAAACAAGAGATGATATAACTATTATTTTATAAAATAAGTAACCAAAATAGTTATTGAAAGTGAATAATGTTGAACCTTGTAAATATAATTTAAGACGGAGAGAGTAATTTTCTCATTTTATTAATTTCTTCTCAATTTTTTTAGTGTTTATTACAAGACGAAGCATTTATAATTTTGCAACCTAATGAAGCTCAGTGATCAATGAGAAATTTATACAACTTAAATTAACTAATTGCAACTAATTGAATAACCATATAACTTAAATTTCAACTATCCAAGAAAATACTGTAGAATTTGAACATGGGTTGAAAGTTTGGTCTGGTTTGTGAGCACAGCACTCCGTATAAATGCATATACTACATGCATTAAAGGCCTATGTGACATTTGTTTGTTTTTATGAATAGGTGCTATTTGTAGAAATAAGTCTTTCTAAATTATTTGTTCTTTGTTTGATGGAAAATAATAATAATAATAATAATAATAATAATAATCACCACAACTTCCGTTCCTTTTTTTAAATATTCTCATTGATCATTCAATAGAATAATATATAGTCATGTTATATTGTATTTTTTAAGTTTTTTATGTAAAATTTTAATATTTAATTTTTATTTTCTAACTTTACACCAATAATAATAACTTCAGTGAGAAATGTTAACTTGAAATGAATAAACTATTAAAAGACATAAGGAATCTTAAGAATTGAATAACTGATAAACCAACTAAAGTTTGGTTAAGAACATAAGTGTTCCTTACTAATAGTACTAATCACATCCTTAATACCAATTTCCTTAGATGAGAACACTTCTCAAATATTATTAATTATTCTAATAACATCTTACTACACTTAAAAAGGTATACGATTGAACACTTACTACATTAATAGATGTGAGAGCTACTCAAAAATGCACCATTAGTCCTATTATTATTATTATTATTATTTTATTTAAATTTGGTTAAAATAATGACGTTAAATCAAGATTAATTCTTAGAGTTTCAGCCAAACACCAATTCAAAAAACATAAGACTAATGATACATTTTTATAAATTCTGCGGAAAAATGCGTACTTTATGAAAAATATAAGGATTAATAATACACTTTTGAAGGTTCAAGTGAAAACAGGGGCGGACCCACATTGGGTCACACAGGGTCAAGCGACCCCACAGAAATTTTAAATTTTTTTAGTATATATTTACATATATGTAATTTTTTTAGTGTATACCTAGGTTTAGTATATACTCCCTCCGTCCCCTGTATTTGTCCACATTTGACTTTTGGAACTGTTCATCTAAGCACTTTGACTCATCAAATTCTCTCAATGTGTAAGCCTAAATATAGTCATGTGTGATCTTGTTTGATTTGTCTTAACATATAGATTATTAATATATAATTTTTATAATTTTTTAATATACAAATCACAAGATAAAATGGATTAAAGAAGTGCATTGGATGGTGTGCAAAAATGAAAGTGGACAAATACAGGGGGACGGAGGGAGTATTTAATAAAATGTTACAAGTTTCAACACGCCAGCGCTGAAGGAGTGGAAAGATTTGCAGATTTCGATTGGATAGGCGATCCTGTGTTCGAAACCAGCTTTGGTGGTGACTCTATAATTTTTTGAAGATTGATACTCCGTATCTAAAAAGTGTCATTTTATTTCTTTTTTTTTCTTCAATTTTCTCTTAAACCTATATTTCCAATCCACCCATCCCACTTCGGCACTTTCCTAGACCTAATTGCAATCGGAAGTTGAGACTGACTCATCCTCTCTCGCTGACGGCCGACTACAAACCTCCGTCGGACCTCCGACCGCCACTTGAAAGTTGGAACCGACGAGGAGTCGAGGACCCCCAAGGCCCCAATTTTTCAAACAAATCTTCTCTTTGCCAGGTTTTTTCTATTACACAATTGAATCTAATTATATAAATTGGATATTACTTTTTTATTTGTAGATTGTGAAATTTTGATTAATTGTTATAAATTTATTATTGTGAATAGTAGAATAGGGAATTGAATTCGTTTATTTATTTTGTAAGATTGTGATTTATGAATATGTTAAGAATGAGGTTCGAAACAAAATTTGTGACCAATGGTTAAATAATTGTCTAGTGACATACTCCTTCCGTCCCGAAAAATATGGGAGTTTTGATTTTGAAGAGAGATTTAAAGAGAGTGTACTTTGATATTGAATTCCCAAAAATGTCCTTTGATGTGATGGGTAAAAGTATGATTTGATGGATAAATTATTAATAAAAAAGGTATGATGTGATAGGTAGGGTATAAAAAAGTAAAGGGTAAAAGTGACTTTTTTATAGAAATGAGAAGTGTTTTTTGGGACGGATGAAAAATGAAAGGAGAAAGGTTTTCAGAGACGGAGGGAGTATATTGAAAGAGATGTCTTTGCTAAAATATGAAAATTAGACGTTATCAATTGTAAGATGTATTTCACATTTGCAATGTAGAACTATTTTTATTTATTATTTTCAATAATATATATAAACTTTAATGTTATGTATTGTAGAATATTGTTTATTTACTTTTAGAAGCGTGATGGTTGGATATAAATTTTCTAAATTGCGACCCCATGGTATAAATGTTCTGGGTCCGCCCCTGAGTGAAAAACATAAACTTTTTAATGAGTTCGACAGTAAACATAAACTACACTCTTAATTAAATGTATAAAGACTAATGGTGCATTTTTTAAAGAACGGGGTGGACAAATACGCACTTTATAATAAATTTCAGGAGTAAATGTCACAAAAAAACTCCTAAATTGAAGTTTAACAACACACTATCTAGGCTGTCACCTAACACAAGCACAAAAAGCCTGAGATTTGTCCTTTTCAACCTCTTAACTATGGTTATTTAGACTTCACAGTTCGAGCTCTCTCTCTCTCTCTCTCTCTACCCATGAGTGCAGAAACATGGACAGGAAAGAAGGGAGGGCATAAAATGCAATCAATAATGCATATAAAAGGTTCCACAGAAGAAAAGGGTATTTTGGTAATACAGGATATTCAGGTATTATCAACATTGATAATGGTTCAAATCACAAATGGAAACATACAAGCGCAAATTACAATTCACACAGAGTCTAAAAGCGCATTGTATGATATTCTTCATTGATTTCAATCACCTTAACCTATTCACATGATTTTATATTTCTCACCTTTTTTCCACTGAATTATAAAAGCACAACTGAGGCCCATCCATCCCAAACATCTACTTGTAAGGTGCAAACAATATGGATGAGTTTTGACCGCTGAATCCAAACGAATTAGATAATGCTACTTTGATGTCAAGCCTTTCCTTTTTGGGGCCAACTAGGAACTTCGAATCCTGTTTTTGATGGGTAGAAACCATTAGAACGTCTACAAAGATTAGTGTCATTAAGTTGAGTGAATGGTTTAAGACTACAAGTTTATGTTCCTTTCAATGGTAGTTCAAATCATATCAAATTCTAAGTGGTTATCGATTCCCGGTTTTTGATATAGTATCACATCTCATGGAGAAGGGGGGTATTGAAGATGACAAAGGCAATAGTAATTTGGATTTGACTCAAGCAGGTAGTTCATTATATACTTTCCTCTATGAGCAGAGATCTTTGGGCACCAAGCATGGGTGTCGTGTTAGGACACCGCGCCATTTGAGGGCCCTATGTGCTCCGTTGGGTCCCGAACTCCCGATTTGGGTCCTATTCCCACCCCTGCCTCCATAAAAACGCCGAAATGTAAAGGTAGAACTATAGCATTTCCGCGTCTTCTGGGGGAGGAGAGAGGCGATATGGGTTTTTTGTTGGGGGTTAGGGGGTAGGAACCACTTTGGGCCCTAACGGAGCATCGTATGACCCCGGTGTCATATTATGAGTTATGACACGAAAAAACTGGTGCCACAAACAAACCGTGGGGTTCGTCTAAACTAAATTGCCAGCACTGATTTGGCAAGAGTAGAAATTATCAGTTAACACTTGGTCAAGAAACCAATACTACGGGTCTAAATATGGGAAAAATCATGCCACGGGTTAGCTCAAACATAAAGAGGTAAAAATAAACAAGCATGAGATCCATACCACACCATTACTGGGGTTTTCAAGATTAATATTCGGATGAACCCATCCAGTGCGAATTGCCTGCAGGACCGTTTTAAAAAGTCACAATGCAAGTTCAGCAAGAAATAATAATATTATACGGAGTAACAAAAAGCAAAGAGTTTTCTAACCATACACAAAAAAATAGCACATGAATATATTTCTACATTTGAAAGTGTTTCTGTCTCCGAGGCATTTTGGAAAGTAACTTAGAGCTAAGCACAAGGCTGAATTTTAAATGGTTGGTAAGTTCTTTTGATCCTTCATAGAACCTTAGCCCCAGACCAAGGCTATCAATTACCCCGTATAAAGGTTAAGATTCATTTAGTTATTTGCAAAAATTTCATGTTAGATATGGCTCATTAGATTTTAAACCTTACTTGGATCAGATTGCCTACACAGTTGATGCCAAGTTGGTCACCAGGAAAAAGTCACCACATGTGCGACAGAAGTAAACACCAAACAAAGAAATTCACATGTGACATAAGCAGAGTTGAAAAAGAAGGTAAAAGCAAGGGTACTTCCAAGAATTTATGCAATGTTTTTTATGATGATGAGGAGAACTTTGGAACTTACGGTTGCTTCCTAAAGCACCGTGGCTTCCCTTTGTTTTTATTTTTTTAACTGTATATATGAATAATTCATGGAGTAACATGTGGGCCCATTTTGAGGTGCTTGGAAGAACTTTGCGTTGAAGTTAAAAGTTGTTTTAATTGTAAAAATAAGAAGTGATGTGTGGAACCCACAAAAAATAGAGAAGAACCTTGGGGAAGAATTTTGGAATGTAGATATTCTTGGGCTCTATTCTTTTGGGTTGGAAAAGCAAAGTTAGATGTTGGAAAAAACATAAAGGACTTGGAAGAAACAAAATGGGGTTTGAAAATGTTGGAAGTTAAGAGTTAACACCCAAGTGGACAGATCCTAAATTATGAGATCAATGGGAAAAGGTACCTGAACAGTTGCTACAGCCTCCACACCGCCAGATGCTCCTAGAAGGTGACCGATCATAGATTTTGTTGAGTTCACCCGTAACTGCATATATCGGATAGAGATTTATAAACAACCGTTTATATATAATTAATGCAATCCACTGAAAACCTTGGGATTGAATAAAGCTATTGCAACAGTTACCTCCGGATTCTGGCCAAAACAACGAACTAGAGCTTGGTACTCCTTGAAGTCGCCAGCTGGTGTGGATGTTGCATGCGCATTGATGTAGTTCACATCTTCCCTAGATACCCCTGATTGAGCTAAGGCCTTCTCTATACAAAGGATAACACCAGTGCCTGCTCTTGCAAAAGTGGCATGTTTAACACTGTGTCACATATGTTCCTAGTTGTGGATGAGCTGCAAGTTACTACCTCCACCCCCCAAAAAAGAAGTTTTGTTTCACTAAGGTGCAACCTTTTAATTCTAGCTATATTTTAAAGTTATTTTGTTAGGCTAATTGAATTTTACACTTAAATTGTTTAAACATTTTTTTAAAATACATTTAATTTATTTTTCTTGCTATAACCATTACCATCAGGATGAGGCTCTGTAACGTGATATGCATCACAAGTGAAGCTTCCACCCAAGAATTCAGCATATATAGTTGCACCTCTACTCTGCTCATTCAAACAATGAAAACAGAAGCACTCTTCAATAAAACTAACTGGTGAAAAGGTTTCGATCAATTGATTTTTATCCATGAATAAATTAATAAATTGAGAATTGAAATGTATGCCTAACTTTACCTTGGCATGCTCAAGTTCTTCCAAGAGCAAAACACCAGCTCCCTCCCCCAGGACAAAGCCATCACGACCCTAATTAAAATGTATATGTTGTTATTTTAACCCAAACTCTAACAAAATAATGGAAACTTAATATTTTGGATTGTAGACATTTTCCTAAAGCACAGGGAAAGTAAAATTAACAAAGAATTTGAAGTTTTACGCGATATATCGTTCTCCATATATAGTGGAAAGCACATTTCAAGTATCTTGAGTTTGGTTTCAAGATTTAGCCATTGAAAAGTCAAATACATTTAACTAAATGCCTCCAATCGGAAAAAAAAATACATTGAACATCAAAAGTTTATACCAAAACCCTGTAATAGAAAGTCTGGATCACAAAATGATCTCTGGTTCACAGTAAATAAGAATAAATTCATTTTTTGATAGAAACATAAACAAAAACACAAGAAACATAAACACAAACACAAGGGAACCGAGAACCTTACACAAGAATAAAAGAAAGGGAACCGTGAACCTTACACTGTCCCAAGGTCGTGAAGCTTTAGTAGGATCTTCATTTCTCTGAGAAAGCGCCCTGCATGCTACAAATCCAGCCAGTCCTACAAGAGGAAATGGAATAGAACAATA